ACAGATGTTTCTGTTGGTTTCCGGCCGCCATGTTGGTGCCCATGCGGATGGGCACCAGCATGGCGTCTCCATACAAATCTCTATAAATTTAGGTAAAAAGTTTCTCCGCATATCTTGCATAAGAAAAATTGTTGTGAGCTGAATCTTGGCGAGAGTCTTGGCATATTTACTTTCTTTCTTTTCTCAGATTCTGGACTTTATCTGTTGAACGGTTTTGATTTTTATTTTGATCTATTTTGAATGGCGTGACACTGAAAACCAGCAATAAGACCAGTTTTTTTCGCAGTGGTAAAAGACATAATTTGCAAAAAATAAAAACCTGCCTTTACAAACCCTACTTTTTTCGTGTTTAAAATTCGTATCCCGCTGGAAGCGATGTGCTGTAAACATTTTGGAAGATTTCACCGAAGGAAATTCAAGAGCCACCTTAAAGTTTTGAAAATTTAAGGCGGCTTTGAACCCTATGAAGAGAATTTTTTTAAACTTTGCCAAAAGTTACGTCCTATCAAGCTTATTAAAATTTGACAGGAGCCATAATCGGGGACGGAGACCGTAAGTCTTGGGATCCGCGCGCACCTGTGGTATGGGACAATTTTTCTATTTTTGAAACAAATTGCGCCGTCCTGACGTAAATTAAGGTTTGTAAAGGCAGTTTTTTCGATTTTTTTCAAATTTATGTCTTTTACCGCTGCAAAAAACCTGGTCTTACAGATTTCCCTGAAAAACGAGCCCTACGTTCCACGCTCTCGAGTCCCCGCGCGTCCCCGAGTCCCGACGTCCTCGCGTCCCACGTCCCCGAGTCCCCGCGTCCTCGCGTCCCCGCGTCCCCGAGTCCCACCAATCTGCCAAATTTTACGGAATTTCACCGAAGGAAACGCAAGAAAATTTACTATCAGTTTTGCTTTTTGTGCTCATGCGTGCACGTGCTGAGTGCTCTTTCACGGCTAATCCGTTGGGTTCGTTTTTGGCTGAAGTATACCTTTGAAATAAGTGACCAAATCCAAAGAGATAGCATCATTCTTTGAGAGGAGACGATATCCTCGCCGTGTCAAAATTTCAGATTTTTTTCCTTTGTCCCACGCTCGTGACGTGTTGATTAGTTCACTTTTCACATTTCATTCATTTATCAAAATACGGAAAGTTGCCTCTGTCTTAAGATTTTCTTAACATACTTCTACCCTTCATCTGACGCAGTGACCTCTAGAATATTACAAATAACAAACGTCGACACAGGTAATAAAATGCTTTAATACAGCAATTAACATAAGTTGTGACCACTTGTCAGTTCTTATTGCACACTGTATGATCTGAATGTTCTTTGTAAGATTAACATACTAGACACCGAAAACGTTTGCGATATAATTGACCGACCACGTTCTCTCGATGGTGTCCACGTACAAACAGACACTTCTTTGAAAAAAGTAGTGGCTACCAAGGCTCTTCTGCAAACAGATTGTCGAAAATTACATCTGCCAATGTAAAAAAGACTGTATAACGTTAGTTTGTAGGGACTCGCTTTTTCTTTTGACAAAACATAATACAGCTCATCCGCAGTACAAACAGTAATATTGGCTACCGATAAAAGGCTCTCGATCGTTTTCCCAAACCGTCGTAAATGTTCTAAGTGTCTTGCGTTTTTGTGCGATAGTTCCCACGCATTTTGCTTTCCAGTTCTACAGAGTACTCGTACAGTAGCATCCTGTCAATGCGTAAAAAGGAGGAATGGGGCCAAAGTCTGCCAAGCTGGATGGTAAAGGAATGTCACAGTAAAAAAAATATATAGAATTTTCTTTGTTTAGTTTGGTGTTCAAGTGCGCAGCTTGTCATCCAACTGAGTGGATACAGCAAAAGCCCGCATGTAAGATCCTGCATTTTTCCAAGTTAGCTTTAAAAGGTTCTTAACTAATTGGTTTTTATCGGGAAATTAAGCTAATTAGGTTCTTAAACAGGTCCTCATTTTCTTTAGAAAAAATGTTTTTGTTGCTGGAAAAATATCGGTACTGTCTATTGGTTATAGAAAAATATGCGTATAATTATGTCTAAATGACTATAATCTAACCAAATACAAACCTCATTTTAAGTTATTTGATTTTATGAATTATAACAATTAAATTAATTCTAGAATTCCTGGCAAGCTAACACAGCCTGCGGAACACCTATTCCGCGGGACACCTCCGCTGAGTGCCGCCGCAGCTCACTGATATCTCAGTTGAGCTCATGGTCTAGTTGTCAACAATTATTACACTGTATTTAGTAGAATTCTACTAGTATACTAAACTGACCGTCATCTGAAAATGTTTCAATGAACCAATGAGTGCGTGCGCACAAACACAAGTTTCAAAATAACAATTAACTCCTCGTTATTTTGCTTAAGCATAAAGCTTATACTACGTTGAGAAATTATTGCAAATCGTCATTTGAAAGAAATTCTAGAACTCTACTAAAACAATTACATTATTCGCTCTCGGTTATTAGATAGTTGATAACTATCACCTCATAGAAATCTTGAGCTATAAGTGTTAATTAGAAAATAATTAGAAAATAGCCCAAAGAAAATACGCGCGCTGATTGGTTTAAAATCTTATTTCTGTTTAACAATTAGAGAACAGTGGCCACTGCACCCTAGTGGCTGATAGTATACGAGTAGCTCAGCCAATCAGATTGCAGCATTTGCATTAGTATACTAATAGAATTATACTAAAGCTCGATAGAAAGACGGTGCATGTTTTCTATTTCTTTAAGGACCCTAGTCAGCCTCTACCATTTTCGATGCCATCGAAATGATTGATATTGCATGGTGAAGCGAAATCTTCTTGCTCAGTTACCGTAAGTTGTGTTCTTGAAAGTATGTTTAATAATCCTTAGTAGTTTCGCAGTGATTCCCTTCGTTTCGACATGCTCCGAATAAAATATAATAGGCAAACTCTAGCATGTGAACAAAAACAAAGGTGTGGCTGACTAGGGCCCTTTAACAGTGTTTTCTAAAAGACATTGAAAACATTTTCTCCGTTGCGAGTTTCAGTTGATTTGTAGAAACACCCATGAACGTTTGGGAGAACTCAAAAAATCTAGAGACACTCTTGCTCCAAAACCATATCCCATTTTCTCAAATTACCAGTCATGTTTCGATAGCTTAATAGAAACGATGTCAGTGATTTCTGTAGCTCGTATTGCTTAAATAGAGCACAGTCGCACACATATTGCTGTTGAAAGGAAAAATGATAAGTTTTGGAGTGTAATACCATAGCGTATACTAAAATAAATACACTCAGTGCTCGCCCTCGTTTTCCACGTCAGATAGTCAATTCAGCAGCACCTTGTAGACTATACACTCAAAGAAAACTCATTGAGGATTAAGGATCCAGGCGGCCCACTCCGAAATTCCAAAATTCCTGGATTACTTTAGCCAAACATGCTTTAAATGGAGGCTTTTTCATATCTCGATCCAGTCCCAAGGTGGTGCAATACAAGGTCATTTTCTCATCATCATTAAGTTGACACTGCTCCATCAGGAACCTGAACGACACTTCATCCCTTACTTGTTGTTTCTATGTAGTTTTTTCTCATATAGTTCACCCGATGTTAATTAACCAGCTCTAAGTGGTGCTTGCAGTTACACCATCTTCAGTGCCTTGCAACATGTCAGTTTTCATCTCTTCATCGGTTCCCTTAAGGTCGACGGGTAAAACTTCTGATTGTTCTCCACCTTCTTGAACCTTTTGATCACCATCAGTCTTATCCTCCTCAGGTTGAATGCCATTTGATTTATTAGTACCCACCTTAGCGAAGTCACCAACGCAGAATGCTCCTATTCCTCTGTGCGTCACCCATGATGGTATTTGAGGACCAACAGTTCGAGCTAAACCAACAGCAGTCTTTAGTTCTCTTGCTTTCTTCTTCGCCTCCTCAGCTGCCTTCTTGGAAGCTTCTTCAGCTGCTGCGAGTTTATCCTGAGCCTCTTTCATGGATTTCTCAGCTGCAAGTCTCTCCTTATCTATTTGCTCAAGCCTTTTGCGTTCCTTTGAAGACAACCATACCAACATTTTCAATTCAACAAAGATGTTACTAATAGTTAACTTATCAATAGCCGAGCTTAAACGATGGCATTATACCTGGGAAAATACGAGAGTTCACAAGGAAAGTCGCCCTTTCACAAATACAGTGAAACCTGTATTGAGGGGGGTCTGTATTAAGCGGACACCCTTGGAACACTAATTAGTGTCCGCTTAATACAGGGTGCCCGCTCAAAACAGGTTCTAATATGTTTTGTAGTAATAGTCAATTGTTAACCCTTTTGTAACACAGTGTAACAGTGTGATATCAAAGACTGCTCATAGCACATTGGCCAGTCAGTCAATGCATCAATCAGGAATAATCACTTAGCTTTAAAACGACACCGCTGAACAGTGTTAAAGGAATCTCAGCTGGATTTTTAAAAGTAAAAAGCCCTTGAAGTGTCCGCTTATCAGTTGCAGCTTTTGTGCAGCAAAATGGCTTAATATTGGTGTCCACGTCTGCTTAACAGAGGTGTCCGCTGAATGCAGGATTATTTTATAGTACATGTGGGAAGCAAATTTTGAGACTTCAGCTGGTGTCCACTTAATAGAGGGTGTCCACTTAATATGGGGTCCGCTTAATACAGGTTTCACTGTAAAAGATTTTACGCTGGGAAACATCACATTTTTCTAAGACCATTTACATGAATGAGTGAGTAAACAACAAAATTACATGTCTTTGTTCCATTGAAGAGTCCTGCCAAAGTTTCAAATCACGGCCATATTTGACCAGTCACGTGACCAGAATAGAAAAAAACCCCTAAAACTTAATCGAAAATTTAAATCAGTGTCAATAGATTAAGAACGTCTACGTGCTTAATGCTACGTATGGGTTTTATGAAACTCGCATCATCATTAAAGTTAGGAGGTCATAAACATCCGTATTAACTAACTGCCTTTCTACAGCAGCTTTCCTCTTTTGTGTTAGCAGTAATTCCATACGTACGATTATAAGGCAAAGTTATTTCTGATTCATCAACGCACGGTTAACAGATCTTAATAGGACTTGCACTAGTTACGAATGCGAAATCATATTTTTTTTTTTCAAAGCAAACTTTCCTTCATATAAAATTCACCACTTAACACCGCAAAACGCTCCAAAAAAGCTTTCCTCTAAACATCGTCTTCAGCAATCCCTTAGCAACTGCTCTAAATCTGTAGCTAAGAAGGACCNCCCCCCCCCCCCTTGACATTCGCTTTAACAAGCCTCTTATTTTTCAGGAAGCTTTAAACGAGAGCGTAATTAGCAAGTGTAAAGCTTCATCTTTAAAAAACGTAAAGGCAGCGTTAAGCTTAACTAAGACAACTTAAAGGACCAATAACTACAGTCAACAAACAGAGTACTGTTTTGCCAAGGTTAATTACAATCGTACTTACTTCCTCAAGCAACTTTTCCTGCTCTTTATGTCGCTCCTCCAAATTTTCTCTCATCTTCATTTCATCTTCAAGTAGCTGCTCCTTCTCCAATCGCAATCTTTCCATTTCCTCCACCCTCTTCTTCTCCGCTTGCAGCAGTTGTTCCTGCAATGCACGTGCCTTTTCTTCTTCCTCCTTTGCTCGTCGTTCAGCTTCGAGTAGTTGCTGTAGTTCTTTCTGCAGTCTTTCTAGCTCTTTCCTTTTCTCTATCTCCTCTCGTAGAAGGGCTGCTTCTTCCGCTGCCTGTGCTTCTGCTTGCTGATAGAGCTGCTGCAGCCTTGTAAGTTCCTAATAAGCAAAATCCAAGAAATGTTTCTGTGTCATCAGATGTAACAAGAACTTAATAAGGTGGCTTACTACAGTTTTTCCAAACCACGGTAGCGCAAGCTACAATTAAGTGCCAGACATCAGTAACCGTCGCGCGTTCAAAAGTGACGCAAGTATAAACCCTAAGAAGAAATGAAAACAACTTCAGCACTTCAAACGCGTTAAACCACTACAGTATACGTACAATATACGCGTGATTTTTTTGGGCGTTTTTATTTTATTTTAGTCTAGTTTTCTATATTTTGGGGGCGTTTTTAATTAAAAAATTATTCCTCTCGCGTTTGTTGGGTACGAGAAGATTATAGCCCATTCATATCCAACCGGCGCGCACTCGTGGAATAAATACCTCTTGCTAACCGAGTTCGAGAGTTATGGACCGAGAAGACAAGGTTAGTAAAATATTTATTATATCTCCACTGTGTGTCTGACGGGTTGGGGAACGATTTCTATTCACTCGAAACGGCTTCAAATTTCTAATGCACATCGAACGCAAAGCGAGTCAATTTGAAAACCTTGCTAAGTCGTTCGCACGTCTTAACACACAATTTAAAGTGTAAGAAAGTTTTAAACTTTTAAACTTTTACTTGTTATAAAAGTTAAGAGTACTTAATTAGCGATAAATCACGAAACATTTTGGCAACAAAAAACAGCTTTAAACTTTAGCGGGCCGTACAGTAGAATACGGCCCGCTAAATTGACCAATCGCAGCGCGCGTAGTAACTGAGAGATAATAAGTGGACTGGACATTTCACTTTGATCTAAATGAGATGATGGTATGAAAAGGCGGGAAAATGTGTCGCACGTTGTTTACTTTATGCGTTGAATGAAGCATGTCAGGAAAGCGAGGAAGACATGTTTCTTCTGAACTGCAATATTCTTCAATTATTCTTCTCCTCCAAAATTGCCTACATTCTGGAAAATTGTCACAAACGACAAACAATTTACGGTGAGATCCGAAGTAGTGAATTTTAAATTATTTGCTTACGCACGGGCCATCATCGTTTGGTACTATACAGATTGTGTTGCTCGAAATCAATCGAGTAAAGAATAAGACCCAAATGTAAAGTAAAAAGCTGGAAATACATCATCCCAGGTTAAGAGTTCAGCAATATGGTATAAAATGTTAAATATCTATATGCACCTGTTTTTGCGCCAGCAGTAGATCTTCCTGTTCTTTCTTTTTTCTATCGTCTTCCATTCTCTTCTGCTTTCTTTCATTTCTGTCAATTTGACGCTGAAGACGCTCTCTCCTCTGTGGCGTTGGGCCATCTGAAGCATCTATGGACAAGATTACAGTTTGACTTATCTTGGTTTTTCAAGACTTAACGGCATTCTATCATTTTGTAAATCGAGTGTTATATTCAAGTTAATAGAGGGAAATGGTATGAAATCTGACAAAAATGGGGGATGTCAATGGCCACAAGGATGCAAAACGGTAATTCTGGTAAGAGTTCGCGTGAGCATTGGTGCCATGAACCTCAGGAGAGAGCCGGGGGCAACGTGAAAAAGCATATAGCTGTAGCAAGACAGGTATGAGTGATCTATCTGATGGATGACAATCAATAAAGCCGTGAGTAAAGAGGGTTGTACAGGGGTATTCTCGTGATGCGTGATTAGCTGATTTTATTTCGTGATCCGTGACCTGAAGGTTTTGCGTGACCCGTGAAGAACTTCAATTACTAACCGACATTCGTGATTTCACCACTAATAATATACATGAAAAAATTACTCGATTCTGATTGGCTGAGAGCAGTGCAGTTCAAGTGTAACACCAGTTCAAAAAGTGTAACACTGGTGCAAAAAGTGTAACATCAGTGCAAATTACACATCGTAATTCTGGATTATGATTGACTGAAAGACAATAGGAAATTTTCCAAGCCAATGACTGATTACGTAAAATGATGACGAAAATTTTGTGTGGAAATTTTGAAAAAAGGTTTTCTCGAATGCGAAAAAATGGCTTCAAGAAAGGTCTTCCGGCACTTGCTCCGCGCAAATTTTTTCATGTTTATAGTATTAATAAGTAATCATAAG